TATATATATATATATATATATATATATATATATATCTCATTGTAAAGAAAATAATTTGTGATAGTGTTATTATTTTTATCTTGGTATCAGAGCAAACCGTATTCCTTGAATCATCACCATCGAAGTCACATGGCTAATGAACAATCCAAATCTGCTGTCTCTGAAATATCCACCCCAGTCATCCACATCCAATCTAAAAATTCTGGCTTCCATGCTAGTGTTATTCTAATTGAAACTAACTATGATGTATGGTCCCAAATCTTGGAGCTGCAAATTGCTGCGTGTGAAAAATTGGAATATATTCTGGGTAAAAACAACCTCCCAAAGGAAACGGATCCTACTTATGCAAAGTGGTATGCTGAAAATCAAGAAGTTAAAGGCTGATTGCTTACCTCTATGTAACCGGAGTTAATGAAGCGCTACTTGCACCTGCGCACTGCATGGGAGATTTGGGGTTCCCTTGCCAAAGCATTCTACGACGGATCGGATGAGACACAAATCTTTGCACTAAACCAGCGTGCCTTCTCTACTAAACAAGTTGGCCGTCCCTAATCAACCTATTATAGCGAACTCATCGAGATCTTTCAGGAACTAGACCATCGCGATAAAATTACTATGAAGGATCCAGATGATATTGTTGCATATAAGAAATCTGTTGAACGCTTGCAGGTACATATCTTCCTTAGTGGACTGGATACTGACTTTAAATAGATCCAGGGTGAAGTTCTTCGAAAGGATCCTCCATCGACCTCAAAGAAGCCTATGCATAATGCGTAAGGATGTCGTACGTCGAACCACTTTAAATGGTGAATCTACCCATTCTGAATCTACTGCTCTATTCGTTCATCGTGCCAAGTCTCAGCCATGCAAATCTGGTGCGAAACTTGAAGTAGACTAGAAAGGTAGTTTTGATATTTCCAAGCCAGAATGCTTGTGTACTCACTGTGGTGAAACCGGCCACTCCAAATTGAGGTGCTATGATCTAATTGGCTATCCAGATTGGTGGGATCCAGCAAAGGGACCACAAAAATGCAACTCAAAGTCAAGTCACCAAGCCTCAGTTTCTGTAGCTAAATCTTCCAGTGGCACTCTTGTAGAAGCTTCCTCTTTGGTCGCCCGCCACTTCAAGTAATATTGGTAAGGTATTATAAACCTCTTCACTTAGAAGTAGTAATACATGGATAATTGATTCAAGAGCTACAAATCACATAACTTTTGATAGTCAATATAATCAGTTTATAAAACCATCAATCGAACATATCATATCTACAACTAATGGCAAATCCTCATTTGTGACTGGAGAGTGTTCAATTGCTCTTTCAAATAATTAAAATCTTGATTCTGTTTTAGCTGTACCGTCCCTTAATCACGACTTATTGTCGGTTTCTCAAATAACTTGTGCCTTACATTTCGTTGTGATTTTTTGGACTAACCTTTGTGCTTTTAAGGACATTCGGACTCGGAAGACAATTGGTTATGGTACTAGAAGGGGAAAGCTATTCTACTTGGATTTGAAACCTGCAAACTCAAGTCAGTTGGCTCAAGTTTCCTCAGTGGATAAGTCTACACAAAATCACTTCCGAAATTTGGTTGTTCCATAGACACTTAGGTCATGCTTCTTTCGAATATTTAAAACAATTGTTTTCGAATTTTTTTTCTCAATTAACTACTTTAGATTTCAAATGTGACATTTGTGAGCTAGCAAAAGTCACCGCATATCATTTCCATTAAGTTTGAATAAAATTCCAGTACCTTTTATGTTGATTCACTCGGACGTATGGAGACCAGCCAATACCCCTTCCTTGAATGGTTTTCGTTGGTTTGTTTCTTTCATTGATGATCACACACGTATGACTTGGATTTGCTTAATGAAATGAAGTTAGTGCTTTATTTTAGAAATTTCATAAAATGATTGCCACACAATATCAATCTCACATACAGGTTCTTCGTACTGATAATGGAGGAGAATTTGTTAATCAAGACTTAAAGTAGTATTTATAGTTGTACGAAATTTTGCACCAGACCACTTGTGCATATTCTCCTTAATAGAATGGTGTTGTAGAAAGCAAAAATTGCCACTTACTTGAAGTTGTCCGTGCCTCTTTGTTTGGCACTCATATGCCCACCAGTTACTAGGGTAAAGCTACCATTGCTGCAGCCTACCTCA